TCCTGTTTCCTTCACGTGTGAGCAGACGCCGGAGAGATGGTGAGCAGACGACGCGACGGGGATAAATATATGTGATGAGGCTAATCGGTCTTTCTATTTGCACTAGAGACCTCGTGGGCTTGACAATGCTGAAAGGAACTTCTGAGATCGAGTATAGCAACCCATAGACTTCTGGAAGCTCAATTTTGCCTGGTAACATGAATACCGGTACATAACTACACTGTAAAGCAAATTTTGAGGTTAAATAGAGCTCGTATAGGCACTGATTTTTAAAATAGGCATTTATGGGCACTTCTGGAAATTTAGGCACCAATGTCAAAACTAGGCAGTTATAGGCACTATAAAAACACAATAAAAGCCTTTCTTAACCTCTATTTTATGCTAATATATGAAAGTGGCACAATAGAAACGCAAGAAACAGAATAGGCACTTGCCTATATTCTGGTCTCTAGTATATTCCGCAAAAAATAGACTGTAAAGGCAAAAAAATAAGATTTCTCTAAGTAAAAAATAAACAAGATTACAGAACAAACAGGACATACTTGAGCTGCTATAAAAGAGTAATTATAATTAATGTACAAGTACATGACAGCCAGATAACAATCGGTAATATATGTTTTGCAAAAACCCTTTAACTTTAATGCATCTGTAAAAGATGCTGGATTTTTTTGGACACTGTTGGAAAATACGTTTGTTAGGAAGGCTGTTGCGAAGGTGAATATTTCTTGGAAGAGAGAAAAATACATTACATAGTGATTTTAGCACTTCAAGGAAGGTACACATGTGAGTGACAGAGGACAGACATGTGCCAGTCTGTCCTCCGTCTCTCAGATGTTCGTTGTAGTGCCTAAATCACCATGTTGGGTAATCACTAGCTCGCCAAACAACTTCATATTAAGAAAACAGGGTAAGCTCTACAACTACCATGTATTTTAGGCAAAGTTTGTGTACCTTTTTCTCCATAACCACAAGAGTTACAGTAATTATTTTACTATCATTGTGATCATAAGCTGTTATTCTTTTTACTGAAGCAGATTAAGCGCTAAAAATTGTAACACGAAATTTTTGTGAATTTTTTACTTAATTCGGGTACCTAATTATCACTTAGTGATAACCATTAGATGTCATGTTGAAGAAGAGCACTTTCTCACACAACAATATTTCTGCTTCAGCATATTGCGTATTTTATTATCTAAATACTGGCCAAAATCTATGATTCTAGATACTCTAGTTGTGAAGATAAAGGAACATAAGTTCCAAAAAAAGCATGTTTTGAGATAATTGCATTTAAAGTCAAAAGTGTGCATTATTTCAACAGTACAACGAGATAACAGCAAATTGACAGGCTCATTCAAGAGGCACGAGTCAGATACTCATCACCAATATTTTTTTTTCTTCTTGTGTTGAAACGTCTTGCCTGGTGAACCGTCTTGGCAGCCCTGTCATCAAAGTACTGTCGACGCACGTAGTTCAGGGTTGCGTAGGCCCTTCACTACGCAGTGCCCTGGCGAAATCCTAAAGTGTTCAGCACATTGACATGAGCTATATTCCCATCAGTAAAAGTGAGCACAGCATAAGGAGTGCATATTTTCAGTGTTCGGTGTCTGAGAAAAACGTTTTTTGGAGTGCGCTCTCACACAATTCAACGACGAGATAGGGTTTTGAGTATTCGCATAGAGACATTTGGCAAATAATTCGGGCTGAGCTAGTTCCAGATAATTTGACGTCACAGCCTCAATAAGAGATGCAGGAAGATGTTCTTAATAAACGAATGGTTCCGATTCAACTGGGCGTTATTCAATTTACATCAAGCCGTGGGACGGATAGGTATCCTCCCCATGCCATGTGATATGTGGCCTGTACAGCTTTTCACATGTCCTCCAAGCTGGCTCTATTTCTATTATTGGCCAAATGATAATTGTTTGGTGCTTACCAATGATGGCACTACTAAGACGTCCCCATACAAATATAGAAGTTCCGACAGAAAGCTTAAGGCCTCTGCTTTCTCTCGTTTTTGCAGTACTGGGCTCTTTCTTTTCTCAATGTAACAAGTGCACTCCAGCTTGCAAACTGTAATCTCTCCATGTGGCTATGATGCTGGAACTACGTAAGAATGGGGGCACGACAGGCCACCGCACAAGTTTTAAAATATGGCATTCTTAGAGAAAAAAAAAACTACTGAAACAAACAAATGACTGATTTTGGTTCAGAGAAGGGTGCAAATTTCGAATATTGCAAAAAGAAAAAATTTACTTCATTCAATATTTATGTTTAACCTATCCCCTTAAGTTAGACATTAATTTAACCTGTAGATGAACATGAATCTGAACCGATTTCACAGCATGGTCTGAAATGCAGAGTTTCAAGCTGTATTGCAGAAATATTCATGACACAAAGCACGATGATGCTTCAATAATTATGCGATGGCTGTAGTGCAGTCATTACACCATACAATAAAATATAAAGCCCTAATTCAAAACGATTCCAGTTAAGTGACCAAATGCTTCTGATATGGCCGAACCGATTCGGCATATTCAAGCAGAGGCTGAACAAATGTTAGGCGAGCTAGTTTACGAATGGTTGGTCGAATTTTTCAACTTTCACTGTGTATACAGTAATGATATGGAAGCATTGGCGCGATTGTATTCAATACATACCTTGCAAGTGATGTCACTATAGCTGCGGTCCTACTGAACAGCCATGTTTATGAACCACCGCTCAGACTAGCCATGTGTGCGAGCCTTATGATTGCAGTTTTCAGTACGAGGGAGCTGCATCACCACTGTTGCTATCTTCCTCACGATTTTTTTTTTTTTTGCCTTATGCCGCCGACAGGCACAACGTAGCCATTAAATGCGGCGTGCTACTCAGAGTTGTTAGAAGCACGTTGTCGCTACGAGAAGGTGCACTTGTACGATGGAGTGGATTAATACACACTTCGACCCGGAAAGGACACTACTTCAAATGTTTCTGCCATCTCAGATGTGCCGTTGTGACATCGTGAACTATTTAAATTTCAGCACCAATTTGGTAACTTAAGTCGGCGGTAGTGCACTACTTCAGCAGCGGCTGGGAAAAAAGCCCGTCTGCTAAGTTGCTTCGCGACCGCAGAGTGATCAACCTTGCAGAGGTTAATGATTCAAGAACATACACTAGCCCCGGGTTATCAAATAGCGATGCATAAACGCTTCACAATCAACAAATGCTGATGTTAGCGTTCAGTTCTCATGCGAGTACTGCGAAGTGCTCACACGGCGGCGCATTTTTCAAACGCGCCTCCCTGTTTGCGTGTTGCTGTTTTGTGATAAATATAGATGGATGTACATGTGTGTGAACGTAATACTGAGAATTTTGTCACTGCATGTGGAATGTCATCGAGAGAGAGTCGCATTCGGATTCAGCTACACGAACGGGTGCCCATATCTTGTTCAGCAGCAGAAATGCATATTGAAATTTCGAAGTGGCACAAGGGAAAATGAAGGGTAAAAGTAGAGATGTACTCATTCGTGTAGGTCATGGAGGATTTGCTCAGGGTAGAAGGGTTCGTAATGCAGCACTGTTTACTTTTTCGTTAACAGGTGAACCGGCAGCAGCGACGTGGGGGCATCAGCGGCAGCACACGTTTGCGATCTACGATCGCCGCATCGGCATGTCTTAGGCGCCGTTAGAACTTTGCTTGCCACTTATCGCGACGCCGTTGTCCCTCGCGCTCATGCCATACAGCACCTGTATGCTAAGAAAAATAGCCGAGTTGCAGAGACGACACCCAATCTGGGTTCGTCTCCTTGAACAACACGGACGGCTTTCCTACGAGCCCAAGAGCATCCACATTAGTTATCGTCATTATGCTTCCTCTCTCAGTTGCTTACCTTCTACGAAGTGAGCTTATGCTTCCTCTCTCAGTTGCTTACCTTCTACGAAGTGAGCTTTCCACACACGAACATTGTCATTTGTTCGTCGAAATGCGAACGCTTTATTTTATGCGTGCCAGTCCACCGGCGGTTCGCGCTGAGCATTTTTGTACGCTCGCACTGGTCCTCAATAGCCTCCGATATTCCAGAGGAGCTAGTGAGCTGCTTCTTTCTTCTTCAACTGTCGCTATGATTAGAGCAGCCTACAATTGCGCCCATAGATATCACGGAGGAAGAAACTCGTAGGTCCAACCAACAAGACGCGGCCTGGCCACGATTAATAAAAATGGCCGACTCGCTCCGAGCAGCGACGTCAAGTGACATAGGTGCAAGCTATGTATGTGCATTAGGATTGAATATCATGCCCTGGCGCTGTGGTCTAGTGGCTAAGGTACTCGGCTGCTGACCCGCAGGCCACGGGATCAAATCCCGGCTGCGGCGGCTGCATTATCGTGGAAGCGAAAATGCTGTAGGCCCGTGTGCTCAGATTTGGGCGCACGTCGAAGAACCCCAGGTGATTTAAATTTCCAGAGTCCTCTTCTACGGTGTTTCTCATGAGCATATGGTAGTTTTGGGATGTTAAACCCCACATATCAATTAAGAATTGAATATTATGAAAGACGCTATTCATGCGATACATAAAATGGAGGTAGTATGCTTCCAGTTAGAGTAAGACTCGTTAGCAAAGTTATGGGTCTTTTCTGGGGATTATCTGTACCTTTAATGAAACACTAAAGAATGCGGTCATCCGCAAACATGCACACGTATAAGTAAACATTTCGGAGTGTGTCTAGTGTTGATAATTAGCGAAGCTCTCTGCCTGACAAACAAGGCATCGGATATGACATGTTGCCATAGTTGTAAATAAGGCAACAGTTGAAGCTTAACTGCGCACGAACGGTGTTCCGGCACCATCAACCTTATGTCATGAGCTTTAAGACTCGGATGTTACAATCAGAACGCACGCGCACTCCGAAAAGCAAAGAGCGCTCCTATATTAGCAACTGCAGACTCGACGCATTTCCCACATTTGCACGCAACTCCAATGAAAAAAAGATTAAAACAACTGCTGCACAAACTGCCACTCACGTTTCCTAATGCAAGGAGACCCTTGTCAAACAGCAACAGGACTCCGAGGAACAGGAACGCGACGCCGAAGCCAGCAAGGCCGACGCCAATTTCTGAAAAAGTGACATGAGCAACGTCACCAGAGGCGAAAGCGGTGTGTTCATTTCGATAAACTCGATTCATTCCCGAAGCCCGAGGCCGATGGCAAGCAGAACGCCCACAACACCGGCGGCGTGTCGCGAGCACAAGCAGTGCGTAAACCACCACTTACTCTGAAAGTCAGTGATCTCGAACATCGTTGACAGCCGCCGTTATCGGATGCCCCGGGCTGGCACTTGGCGATACGGGTGCGCATGTATCCTTCAGGCCGCGGTTCCCATCCACGTCACGAAATCTACGGCGTAGAGGAGGTGTTCTGGTAGGTGTTCTGTGGTAGAGTGTACTAGAACAAGCGGAGTGCCCAGACCGAGCTCCAAAAAGTGAAGCCCAAAAAGAGTCAATCCGCTTGTGATGCTGCAATCGGTAGTTTGTACTGTGCCATCGTTCAACGCCTTTTCTAGAAGATGCCTGCCGCATGAGAAGAAGAACGGCTGCCACATCCTTTCTCTCCTTTATTTTAGAATGGATGGATGGATGCTATGAGCGTCCCCTTTATAACGGGGTGGTGACAAGTATGCCACCAGGCTCGAAAAAAAAAAGAAAAAAAAAACCTTTTTTCTTTTTTTTTGTTGGCCTAATGCCTCTACTTCGATAAATTTTATCTTAATGGAAAAAAAGGTAAATTTTCAGCTTAAGTTCTCTGCCATTTACGGCACACTGTCCATATTTTATTTTTCCAATATTTATTTTTGTCCTTTCTCTCTAATTTTCTGCCACCAATACTCTAACCGTCTCTTACTTATTTCAATCGCGGGTGTGTTCAGCTTTCCATTGTTGTCCCTAAAACCCAAAGCTTCTTGTAGGCTCGTGCCCAAACGTACACCTGGGTGGATATCTCCACATTCAATCAGAACATGCTCCGCCGTTTCCTTATCTTTCCCGCAGCATGTGCATTGTTCTTCTTCTTTACTGAATCTTGCTTTATAACTACGCGTTCTAAGGCAACCCGATCTCGCTTCAAACAGTAAAGCGCTTCCCCTTGAATTATCGTAAAATGCCTCCCTCCTTATTTCATTTTTGCCCTTTCGGTAGTTACTCAAAGCCGGTTTTTTCTCCATAGCTGCCATCCAGTAAATCCTCTCCGCCTCCCTGACTTTTCCCTTAACGCTCTTTGTTGACATATGGCTTACAATACCAGCCGTATATTTACTAGTGAGTCTTCTAGTTCTTTTTCTCCACTGTGTGTCCACGCTCTTCCTATACAAATAACGGAACACCTTCTCTGCCCATCTACTCTCCTTCATATTTCTTAGCCTTTCTTCGAACCTTATTTTGCTCTGCGCTTCCCTCGCCTCAAAACCTGCCCACCCCATATCGCCCTTTACAGCCTCGTTTGTCGTCTTCCCGTGAGCACCCAACGCGAGGCGTCCCACAGTCCTTTGATTTACATCCATTCCCGATTGCACCTCTGCCCTCATGCACACCACTGAGTTCCCAAAAGTAAGCCCTGGAACCATTACACCCTTCCACAGACCTCGAAGCACCTCATACCTATTGTATCCCCACAACGCTCTGTGCTTCATTATTGCCGCATTCCTCTTTCCTTTTGCTGCCGAGGCTTTTTCCTGTACCTCCATGTATCTATCACTCTCATTTACCCATACTCCAAGGTACTTGTATTCACTTACCCTCGGTATTTCTTGGCCTTGTATGGACACCGTCTGATCACAGGGATCATTGAATACCATCAATCCACACTTCGTTACACTGAATCCTAGTCCAAGAGCTTCACCTTCCCTTCCGCATATATTCGCCAGCTGCTGTATATCATCTCGACTGTCCGCAAATAAGACGATATCGTCCGCATAAAATAAACCTGGAAGCTTCTGCTCAATCATCATGCCGCCCTGTTTGTGTGACAGATTAAAACCAATGTTGCTACCTTCTAGCGCTTTTTCCATACTCACCATGTACAGCATGAATAACAGCGGGGACAAAGGACATCCCTGTCTCAGACCCCTGCTAACCTCAACGTTCTCTTTGCTACGCATTCCTTCCCACTCTATGCAAACTGTATTTTCTCGGTATATCTCCCTCAAAAGCTGTATACAGTCGTCGCCCATGCCCATTCCTTTCAATATATCCCACAAAATTTCCTGATTAACGTTGTCGTATGCCCCAGTGATGTCTAGAAAAGCCACGTACAAGGGCCTATTCTCTATTTTAGATATTTCTATACACTGAGTGAGAACAAACAGGTTATCGTCTAACCGCCTGTCGACTCGAAATCCGTTCTGAAGTTCTCCCAAAATATCGTTATGTTCGGCCCATGTTTCTATTTTCATTTTTACTGCTTGCATCGCCAACCTGTATAGTACCGATGTAATGGTTAGTGGTCTATACGAGCGAATCTTGTCCTTTTCTCCCTTGCCTTTATAGATTAAGTTCATTCTACTTTGTCGCCAACTGTCCGGTATTTGTCCGTCCTTTAAGCTTTTTTCTACTGCTTTTAACAATGCTTCTTTAGTGTTATGTCCTAGTTCGTTAATGAGGCTAACGGGAATCCCATCTAAACCCGCGGCAGTGCGCTTTGGAATTTTTCCTTCGGCCTTTTTCCAGTTGAAATTATCAAGTACTAGCTCTTCCTCTGTTGCTTTCTCCGCCACACTTTTACTCACCGGGGAGATCCCCTGGACGCTCTTTTGAAACGAGTCGGCTGTTACCTTTTGGATGTAACCTAGCGCTTCGTACCCTTCCAATTGATTTCCTCCTTCATCTAGAATATGTTGTTGCGTTGTGACAGACTTCCTACCTAGCGCCTTTATGTGGCTCCAAAAAATCCTAGGCGCGGCCTCCTTTTTTTCGTGTATCTCTGTCATCCAGCGTTCACTTTCACCTTTAATTTTTGCCTCTACCAATTTCTGTACAAGGGATTTTTTCTCTAAATATATTTCCCATATTTTTTTGACTTCGCCCTGCGGCCGCTTCTCCTTTTTTGCCTTTCTATGCTCCCGTGATGCTTCGCGTCGCTTCTCGATCGCCTCCCGGATTTCCTTGTTCCACCAACTTTTTGGCTTCCTTTTTCCTTTCCAGCAAACAGTTTTCTTCTCTTTCCCTATCTCCTTCGTCATTAGATGTAACAGCTCACTATACTCCCAGTCCTTGCCTGGTATTTCGCCTACTTCTTCCTCGACTCTTGCGGCTATATTTATCATTTGTTTGTCATTTAAATACGAGCTGCCAGACTTTGATTCCATGCTCATATTTTCAGTTTCGTATCCCATTTGTAATGTTATTCGTTTATGATCACTACCCAAGCTGTTAATGCCTTCCTCGTCTATCCTCATTTCTGTCAGTTTGTGGTAAATTCCTTCAGTCATGAGACAATAATCAATACTTGATTGCTTGTTTCCGACTTCCCATGTGATCTGGCCGTCACATTTAGGCCCCGTGTTAACTATCTCCAGACTATGTTGCTCGCAAAGATCTAGTAATAACTTCCCATTGGTGTCTGAATATCCGTCAAGGTCATGTATGTGGGCATTCATGTCCCCTAGAAGGATGATTTCGGCCCCATTACCAAATTCCTTAATATCCGCACTCATGCAATCCACTATCTCCTGATTCTTGAATGTTCTCGGTCGCTAGCGTCACCTGTGGCGGACGGTGCAACAACGCAACACTTTGCATAGCCTCTGAAATAGCGGTGTACAGTCGCAGGTCTCGAACAACTCTCGACTGACGCGCCCCTATGGGCCGCAGATGAAGAACGCTTAGCTGCCTGGTACCACGGAGGAAGGAAAGTGGCTGGTACCGTCCGTCGCTAGAGGTGTGCGCCGACTGGTCGGCGAGCCGCCGCCGAGAGTTTTCACCACGTCGCCGACGCGAACTGATCGGCGCGCCGCCGCCGACGTTTTTCATCGGCGCAATCGGCACGCCATTTATGCACCAGTACCGAATTTTCACAGATTTGTCTTTTTTCTTTCTCTTGATTTATAGCTTCGTTTCACATTTATGTAGCCAGTAAAAAACAGGCTTCTTAGTTATCTTCATCCAGCTTCACAGACCGAGAGTACCACTATGAACAGCGGCACGAGTTCGGCGGTCGCTGCATGAAATGTCATATTGGAAAAATTGACAAAAAATAAATGTAACAATTACATTAATGCATAGACGCTGCCATCTTAGGCTTAAAATCAATTTTTGCTGGTTTTCTGTGTCGTAATTAGCAATGATTTTGGTCATACAACGCTGAATGTACTGGCCCAGCGTGTTGATGCGTGCGAGTTCACCGTAGCACTATTTGAGTATTCATATGGATGCAAAACGGCATCATAATCAGTCCAAGATGGCAGCCCATGATCGTGCCCGAAACAGGGCGTATACACAGAAGAAATGAAATGGTAGCAGTGCAGCACGAATGCAGCGCGTTAGGTGAAGAACTACACAAAGCCCCGAAGGATGAAATCGAAAGGGAGAAGTTTAATGGAGATTAGAAGCGTCGAGGCATAATACATACTCGAACCTACTCAGGGTATATCATCACCTGTCCGCGGTGTTAAAGTTGATAATTTTCGAGGATGACGAGGATGATGACTTATATACAGCGTCTCAACATGCTGCAGAAAATATTTGATGCCTTTTAATTCACGCATCAGATATCCGGGATGAAGATGCCAAGGCAGTAAGATGGCAAGAGAGAGAAACGATGGCTGGGGGATTAAGCAGATCATGGCACCCGGTTTGCTGCCCAGCACTGGGGGTGGAGAAATAGGGGCAAGAAAGGGGGTGTAGAGAGACAGAAAATAAAACGCATGTGCACTCAGGAGTAGGATGGCAAACTTAACAGAGGATTTATTATATTATCTACAGACAGGGCGAGAGATATCTTGCGAATGAGCTGGGTGGCTCATAATAAAGTGTGCGTTTTGACTAAATCACAGAATGGGTCCAGAATGCGCTGTTGAATCACGGGGGACACAACCATTTCTGACGGTGCCGCTCACACTCGCTCATGTCAACGTCTTTGATTGGGGCGTGGCCACCACACTGCACCTGTGACACCAAGAAACCACTGTGGTCGTCACGTCGAACGTCTTATGGTGTCGGAATGCCACCTCACTTCCCGGCTAAGATGGACAAAACACGGCGGACAGCAGGCTGGCAGCCCTTCAGTGACTTGTGTGACGAACAAAGAACGCCGCTCTCCCCCGTCGGCCCAGGCGCCGCGTGTAACAACGCTATATTAGTGGTGAGCAAAGGCGTAATAAGCTTGCCTGAGGGCACTAGTTTTAAAAAGAACAAAATAAAATTTAAAAAACTTGCCAGCAAAAAGTTTACAAAAGACGGCTGGATTCGTCAATAATGCAGAGACAGACACTTGAGCAACATGTCATATATTATGTAGTCCAGCAAACATGTTTTCATCACGTAACTTGAACGGACCTACTGGCACTGTGAAAGATGAATAATAATTGTTG